AAAAAAAAAAATCAGAGCCTCACCCTCGGAAACTCTTAGAAAATGGAATCTGGCAGACACTTCCCATGGTGGTCAGGAGGGATCCACACGTGAAAGGTGGTACCTGAATATGCACCAGTTAGCCGGAACAAAAACAAAAACAAACGAACGAACAGGAAAAACAAACAAACAAACAAACAACAAAACCCGGAACCCTCCCTCCCCCCCATACAACTCGAAGGGAGTTGGAACTCCAGTGCAGTAAAGAAAGCTCAGGAGAAGGGTTAAGGTCTGAGGAGTCTGTATAGGAATTAAGAGGCCTCAGAACCAAGCACGTAGGCAGTTTGTCCAAGGGGGGGCATCTCTGTTTCAGCGAGAGGAAGCTGTCCCAGTGCAGGTAGGGGATGGAGGCGGCGGGGAGGGACCCGATGGCCCCTTTCTGGAGAAGTGCAAAGCTCTCCAGTTCCTTGGTGCCTTGTTTCTGGTCTTCAACGCCCGTTCCCCACCCTGGGAATGAGATGCGATTCAACTGTCGGCTCTGGGAGTGGGGAACGTTATGCAGAAGCAAGCAGATTTTGGATTCTGGCGGACCACAATCTTGCCTCCCCTGCAGGTGGCGCCAGGTGGAGGGGGGAGCGAGGGCATCAGGTAACTGGATTTGAAATCCAAGCGACGTCCTATGAGAGAAAGTTCAGCACCAGCTATTCCTGCCATCTGCTCCCTGCCTCCTCCGCCTCTAACAGAGACAACCCTGCAGTCAGCCACAGAAGCCATTCCGTCTGTCTCAGGAGGGGTGGGAGAAGCGGTGTGATGGGCGCAGAGGGTGGAAGTGCCAGAACGATCGAAGGTCTGTGTGTGTCCGCTGGGCCGCTGTGGGCTTGGAAACGTCAACCTCAGACGCCCCGAGGAAGCTCTTGGGGACAGTCGCCCTGACACCGGTGACTCCTCAGACCCTGGAGGCTGGTGCTGCCCCTTCCTGGGACTCCAGGCGTGCCCCTGAGACCCCTGAACCTAGAAATCAGGTGGCTGGGGAGGTCCTGCTCTTCTGCAGCCTCGAGCTCTCCTTCTCCCTGCCTGGTCCGCTCCTGATGCTGAAGTCCTGGGACAGGGAGGAGAGAGATGCGAGGACCGGGGCAATGGCTGCCCGAACTGAACCAAGAGGGCACTTTGCAAGGGGAGATGCAAAACAACCAGGAAAACATGCCAGAGGTCACCTCAAGGGCACAAGGCACAAAAAAAGAAAGCGGAAGGAATCAGTTGAACAGTGAAAAGCCCCGACGAAAAAGTGAATTCCTGATTGGTACCACCCTCAAATAGCTTATATCGTTAAATAGAGAAGTGGGGGAAAAAAAAAATACAGCAGCAACACAAATGTAATCTTGGCTTCAGAGACAGTGTGCAGACGCTCCTGAGCTGTCACCCCGCTTTCCCCAGGACAGTCACTTCAAGATTCGAGTGTTTCACTTCACAGCAGAGAGTTCTTCAGTGTCTGAGAAGTTACGCCGCTCTAGGTTTTCTTGGATTCGCACTTGGTAAACTTGAAAAGTTAGTAGTTCCCTTCGCACCCGACAGGGATCGCTCGGGTGATGTTGTTTTAGAGTTAAGCCTGCTGACGCGCCTCCTGTGAGACGGGGACAGAGGGCTGAGCTCGGCGTCTACATCTCCTCGGAGTTTTGTTGCGGAGCCTCCAGTTTCATCTTTTTGGAGGGTGGCACTCCTTCCAAATCCTTGGGGGAAGAGGAAGAAAAGAGAAACACAGGTTGACACCCCAGGAGAGTGACTGAAGTCAGCAGGAGGTGGCAGGTCAGCCCAGGAGGGTGGGTGTCTGTGGTTCTGACCCGTGGTTCTAACTTTGTGGCCTTCGCATGGACTAGAAAAGGTTCGCAGATCCACGGGGCGCCTCAAACCCAAACTCCTCCTGTGTCCACTGAGCCCAGGTCACCCATCACCCCGCCCCCTGTGCCTCTAAACTCTCCCTGCTCGCCACACCCACCCGTTTCCCCATGACCAACCTCCCAATCTCTGTAACTACAGGGTAATTATCTATGCAGGGTTTCAGGTTACCTCTCCAAGCTCACAGGCTAGACCAATCTGGCCGTGTTGACAACTGCTCACCCAGGGCTCAGCACAGGAGCCTGGCCTGAGGCAGACACCCAGCATTTGTGAAATGTACACAAGTAAGTTATTCTGGGGGAAGGGTCCGCAGTTGCTACCAGATCCCCAAGAAGTCCCATGACTCGAAATTTTAAAAGGTTCAACACTCACTCATCCGCCGCTCCCTCGACTTTCTCACTGCACCACCTCAGGCATCTCCAATCTAACCCATCACTAACTCCAGTTCCTGACTTTGCCCATCCTAACCGGCGCTCCCGCTGCCCTTTGCCTGGGATGCAGCTGTGCGGTACCCTGGGGTCCTCCCTTCTCTGATGCCCAGCCTAACAGTAAGTTCCCTCAGCTCCATCTCCAGAATCCCTTGGCCCACCCACTCTCCCCTCTGTCGCCACCCCATCCGCACCTGAGCCACCCTACCCTGCCTTCAGCGTAGCCCGAGCGATCTTCTCAAAAGAGAAACTGAACACAGACGAAAACCCGTGGGCACGGTCCCACTGACCTCAGGACAAAATCCCAGCTGCCCGCCAGGCCGAGAAGTCCTCTCCCCTCGTCTTGCCGCGCTCCTCCTTGTCCTCCAGGCTCCAGCTCCCCGGCCTCCCCTTCCGTTACTCAGGGTGGCTCCTGCCTCCGGGCCTGTGCACCTCGGTTCCCTCTGCCTAGAAAGCCTGCCCATGCAGTCCTGATTTCTCATCCCTCAAATTCCAGCTCTCCCCCAGCTCCCCTTGGCCTCTGCCCACATTAGGCTTCTTTGCATCACCTGCTCCCATTCTCCTGGGGCCAGAAGCACAGCTCCGGGACCCGCTGGTGTCCGCTGCACCCCGGCACTGTCTCTGTCTCCCCAACCCCATCAGGAGCCCCAGGAGGGCAGGAGGGACCACGTCTGCTGGCTCACCCTGGGTCCCTAGTATCCGGCTGACTGCCTGGTACACAGTGGGTGCCCAAATAACGTTAAATAGAAACCCCTGGGCTTTGACGCAGGATGTCTCTGAGTTTCTGAGGCAAACTCTCAGACCAATTATCGCACGGAGGCAGGAAGAGCTGCCTCTCTTTCCTTGCCCTTTTTCTTAACACAAAAGCAACAAAAGCTCAGTCTGAGTGTAACAGGAGAACGGGGGCCACTGTGTCTTCCGAGGATGGGGATCCTGTTCAGGGGAAGAGCTCGTGAGTGGTGGGGGACAGTGTGGGAGCCCAGGAGCGGAACCCGAGAGGCTGAGCTGCTCTGTCTAAGGGAGGGAGCAGGGGGAGGGGGGAGGGAGGGGGTGGGGAAACATTCTTTTTTAAACAGAAGAGGCTGAGCTTCAGTGTCAAGCTGTCTGCCTCACTGCCATGCACCCTTGGTCTTGTTCACACACCCAGCAGCTCTGGAGACAAGTGGCGTGTCTGCGTGTACATGAAAACGGCGGAAGAGGTCCCGTTGCAGGTCTGGGTCCCCTGGAAATGGGTGTGGAGCTGGGGGCACATCAGAATTGAAGCCCCCTGGACTTTCCAGCACTAGAAGCCTCAGGGTGTGGATCAAAGTTCCAAGCCAGTCTTTCCTCCACTGAGTTCAAGAGGCCAGGAGATCCCCGATGACATCCTCGTGTGACCAGCGCTACCTGAGATCTCTGTTGTACTTTTAATCAAATGGGCTCATGCTCTGCTCGAGACTCCGCCTTGCTTTTTTCATTTCACATTGTGAGAGTATTTCCTTTTTCTCTCTCTGTACGGAAGTCAACACATTCTTTAGAACAGCTGTTTTACCCAATCGGGCTGTTTTATACACGATCCCAGGTTTACCTCACCCTTTCCACAAACTGAGGTTGTGACCGACTTCCTACCACTACAAACACATCTTTCATGGACACTGCCTGTGTCCTGGGCCTTCGGAGGAGTGTTCTGTAGGATGAGAGGGAGTTGCAGATCCAAGGGAATGGAGATGTCTAGTCTGAGAGTCTAGAATCTGAGTCTGGAATCTGCTTGAAGGCGCCGCAGAGTACAGACCAAGCCCTGTCCCTTCTTTCTGCTGCTACTCGTTGCCAGTTTCTCCCCGGGTAGGAAAATACTCAGCAAAGTGGAAACAGTTTCACTGGTTGAGGTTTTGACGCCTCTGTGTCCCTAGTCCTCTTAGGTAAGCACAGAGGGCTGACAGTAAAAAATCAGAATGGGAGCCAAGGCAGCACTGAGGCTTCTCCTGCGTCCAGCTCTACGGTAAGTGTGTTACCCACGTTCTCCTCTCATCTGCACCCTGGCTCCAAGACAGTACATGAGCCCATTCTGGCAGCTGGAGATACTGAGGCTCAGCGTATGCCAATGGAAGGACCTGGGATTCGAATGCGGGAGGTATGCTCTGTCCTGTCCACTGGGCTACCTGCTTCTGCACTAAGTCAGACTAGATTCTGGCAAAGAGTGACGACCCAGAAAGGGGTCATAGCAGGGGGCATGTGCTCAGTTGCAAAACCTGTCAGTTGTAAAATTCCAGAGGAAGATTCACCCAACATTTAGGATTCTGAAAGACCTCTCTTCCCAGCTCTAAGGAAGTTGACTTTGGGTCACTGAGACCAGGCAATGCTCTTGTGGACTCAAATATACAAAGTGACGACGCTGAGGCTGGGATAAAAGACCCTCCCCAAGGGCCAGGCCCCTGTGTCTCGTCCTTCACCGTGGCCCCCGTGGCCAGCCTGGGACACAGAAGGATGCTCGTGAATCCTGCTCAATGAATACAGGACAGTTCCAGTTGTCCAGAGAGAAAACAACAAAACAAAACAACAAAACACCTTTCAACGTACCCCCAAAACCCCAACGGGCTCCCGGCAGATCCGGCTGCCCCTCTGAGACCTCGAGCGAGGTACCTGAGAGATTGTGGACGTCTCTGCAGCCAGACCCGAGTCCCCAGACGGCTGCCGTTCTACTTGCTCTGAACTGTTCACCGAGTTCTCCATTGAGGACTGTGAATTCTGCTCGTCAGAAGCATCTGAGGGAAAAGCAAGACGACAGAAGCTGTTTTCAGACACGTGAGATGCGGAGCCAGATGGACCAATTACTAAAAATACCTGGCACTGGGTAGTTTTATGGCCAGGCGGTCTGTCAGGACTGCAAGGAGCTGGGGGCTTGGGAAGCCTCTTGCTTATTTTGGGGGGGGATGTTGTTTTAAGTAGCCAGGCCACACACTAGCCCTGGGGCCTCCAACCCTTTCCCCTGCACACCTATTACCTGCCCAGGGCCCCACAGGCCCCCACAGGCCATCTAAAGGATGCTGTGGGTTTTGTGCTGTGTGCACCTGGCGCCCTCTGGTGGACACAGCACGCTCCAACCATCATGGCTGCTGACTCTTCCCTCTTCCATTCCCGAGCCTGCCTTCTCCAGCTGGGGAATCCAGAGGTAACTGCCCCTCTGTAAACATGTCTTGGTAATATGGATATTTTTCTGTTTGTCTGAGCAATGACTTATCATTGCAAGAAACAGAAAATACAGAAAAAATAAAATCACTGATTATCTCATGCCAACCACGGCTACCATGCCACTAACATCGTAGAAGATTTATTCCATTTTTCCAGATATTTTCTCCCTACGTGCATACAGTTCTCTACTCTCCCCAAATAGGATCCCATAGTATTTTGGAAGAATTTCTCACGTCCTTAAAAATTCTATAAGTACAAGAGACTGCAAGATGGCTGCGCTGCATTCAATCAAGCAATCACTTATTTAATGAATCTTCTTTCGCCGGCTATTTGGGCTCTTTCTTATCAGTCTCCCTGCTCCCCCCACCTTTAGCAGAAGGAAGGTGCAGACCTTAGCAGGCTGTGTGCAGCTCTGGAAGAAGTAGCAGCGGTTGCACCTGAAGTTTATTTTGGGCGCAGAGCGCACGGGGAAGCAGGTGGGGCAGCACCAACCCACCCAGGGCCCCGCTCTGCTTGCACTCAAGACATCAACAACATATGTCACCCCAGTTTTTAAAAAGCGCATTACAATACTCACGAATGTCTTACTTTCTGGGGTTTCTGAGGCAGTGGCGTAACCAAGGGGAAAACAATTCCAGGCTTAAGTTTTAAAGTGAGCGAGAAATCTGGGGCATGGGGGGAAGCTGGCAGCGCTCCAGGTCTGAGACTGGAGGGGCACAGAGGGGTGGGGACCAGGGCAGGAAGGAGCTGCAGCCCTCCTTCCAAGGGTGCTGACCTCCCAGCCCATCCATCCCAGGTTAACACAGACTCTTACTCCCCAGGCCAGCAGCCCTGGTCTCTCAAGGGCAGTGCCAGGAGACCTGACGCCCCGCCGGGGTGTGGGCAGGGTTTTCCCGCTGCCACGGGAGGGTCAGGGATCCGCCCTCACCAGGGCTGGGCTCCACCTACAAGCTGGTGTCTCGGGGGACACAGGGTTGACAGACAGATCTGGGTTCTAATACCAATACTGCCTCTGCCACTTGCCTCCTTCGGAAGCCAGCCTCTCAGTCTCAGATCCCCACCCTCCGTCAAGTCAAGGTTGACAACAGCCACCCTGTTGTGTGCAGTGAGGATTCAGTGGAATGACAGTAGAGGTACCCAAGCAGCGAAATAACCCCAGATGGGAGTAAGTGCGGGATTGTTAGGGCAGAGAACCAAATTCCCCAACAACCTGACATTTCTTCACTATTTTTAGGGTTACCTTTAAAATCTGTATTAGCACAAGTTCCTCAAAAAGTTAGACACAGTATTCCTGCACGACCCAGCGATCCCCCTTCTAGGTACAGACCCAGAAGAACTGAAAACAGGCCCCCCCAACTGATACTTGTGCACAAATGATCAGAGCAGCGCCACTTACGATGGCCGGAAGATGGAGACGGCCCAAGTGTCAATTAACAGATGAATGGATAAACAAAGAGTGTTCCAGCCACACAGCGGAATACGATTCAGCCATAAAAGGAGCGAAGCACTGACACAGGCTACAACGCGGATGAACCTTGACGACATGATGCTGAGAGAAGCTGGATGCAAAAGACCACATTCTGTATGATTCCACTTCTATGAAATAAATGTCCAGAAAAGACAAATCCATAGAGACTGAAACCACAGACTGGGGGTTGCCAAGGGCTGGGGGGAGAGGGGAGTGAGAGCTCAAGGGTGCGGGTTCTCCCTTTGGGGTGACGGAAACGTGGAACTAGACACAGTGATGACTGCACGACAATATGAATGTGCTAAATGCCCCTGAACTGTTCGCTTCAAAACGGTTACTTTGATGCTGTGTAAATTTCGTCTCAATTAGAAAAAAAAAGGGAAAATCCACACTAATGCTATATTCTATCTCGTATCTGTGTTTCCTTTACAGACATTTTCAGTTGTTACCGTCCTCCCCGTCTCTGACCACAGCTCCCTCTCGGCCTGCACACTGAGCTTCGCAGGGTGAAGAGGGAGGTGGGGCCCCAGATGCAGGCTTAGAAACCACAAAGGTGGCCGGTCACCCAGAGTCATGCTGACCCCTGCCCAGCCCGAGAGCTCAGTGGGGACTGGCCTTGCTGCCTGTGGAGCATTCAAGGCCTCGGTGGGGCAGCCTGATTCTTAGTGAACGGTGCTGGAACGCACCCAGGGGACATTATTTTCCTGGGGCCTAAATTTAGTCTAGGGAGTTTGGACATTATGTCATTCCCTGAACTCACTCGGTAGTAAACAAGTTCAAAGCAAGGTCAACAGCTGGCGGCCAAGCCACCCGGTCTCACAGGCAGTGAGCCCCACCTGGGGAGGCCTGGGGCTCAGCCTCGTGCCCTGTTCCCATGGGAGCCGGGCAGCCCCGGACAATGGGCAGGTAGGCCGGGCCGATGGGGTGGTCTGGCCTGAGCAAAGCCGGGCAAGTGTGCCGGCCTGGAGGCCTGGGGTGGCCGGGAGAGGACCCAGGTGTGTTCCCACCTGGACCTAAGGAGGTGGGTGGGGGTGGCAGTGACCCAAACATGGCAGTTATGACCCAAGACGTAATTCCTCCAGCTGAACTTTAACTGGCCCCTTAGGGCAAAAAAAGACCCAAACATGGGAGAGAGCAGGCCATGGCCAGAAAGCACGGAGGATGGGTAGAAGCCGGGGGCCCACACCTGCCCCCCGTGGGTCGGAGATGGCTCCCAGCCCGTCCTCCACGCCAGCCCTGCCGAGCACGCTGCTTCCTTCCTGCCTGGTCGTGCCTGCACTGTGACCT